CTCTCCCTTCATTTGCTCCTGTGTGCTCTGATCAGACATGTCCCTCTCCCTGAGCTGTAGCTTCAATGCTGTCCTCTGAAGTGAATTCTTCTGCGGGGAGCAGGGTTGTCCACATAGTTGGGATTGGGGCCGGCCCCTCAGACCTCCACAGCTGCTCTTCCTGCCCTGGCCTCCCTTGTAACTACCTACAGAATAGCTGTATCACATGGCTGCAACAGGAAGAACTGTGAAAGACAGTGACCACAGGTTCCAATGCTATGAACATATGCCTTCCTCTTCAGGATAACTGAGCAGAGGTGACTGGGCTTGCACCCCAGTCTCAGTCCTCCTCTTGCTAGCTGTGTAGCCTAAGGCAAGCTTCCCAGGAATTATCTGAAAGTGGGAGTCATCTGTAAGGCATTAACTAAACCCACCAAAGCCTCAAGAAGAGGCTGACAAGAAGGATGCTTTCAGGCTTACTCAACAACCTCCTTACTGCAGCAAGCCCTCATTCTGGAGCCTCCATCTAACTGCATCTACTCAAAAGGCTCTAAACCTAAGTGAGTAATGAAAATAACCCAAGAGGGGTTGACTTCTAGTATCCTGAGAGGTCTCCGACTTCCCTTACCACTCTTCTGCCTACGTGTGGTACCAAGCAGCAACATCAGCACCACTTGGGAACAGGTGAGGAACAGACCCACTGAATAGAATCTGCATGAAACAATACCCTGAGGTAATTTTCATATGCATTAAACTCCTTTTTCTGACGGCTAGTAGATCAGGTCCACCCACAACATACCACCACAATCCAGAGGGGAAAACAACACTCTAGCAAGAATCAGTTAGAGCAGCAGGTAGGTTTCTATAGTCTACAAAAAGCACCCAATGAAGTGTATGATATGTGAATACTGCATCAAGAAAACTGAAATAAAAACAAACAAACAAACAAAAAAAAAACCGGACTGGACCAATGTTTCCCGTGGGTGAAGGGGAAAGAGTTGTTGCTTAAGGGGAACTGAGACTATGTCAATGGTAGTGGAATTTGGAAAAAGGAAATCAAATAATGGTTGTACAACATGAAGAGTATAATCAATGGCACTGATTTATACAAGTACACTTTATGGAATTGGAGAATGTTTTGTTGTGTGTATTTTTGCTACAATTAGAAAAATTACCAGAATATCAATGGGTACAAGGAAGAAAATATGTTCTAGAATTGAATATGTTGACAGTTGTACAGCTCTTCTTGATAAGATTAAATTATTGAGTTGTAGAACATATGGATAAAGTGCTTTTAAAAAAAAGCACCTATTCAGCAATAGTGCCCTACTGCAGCACAACATCCCAGGCAAGAAGAAAGTCTAAGTGCCGAATCCATTTCCCAAGAGTTCTGAGTCAAGCTATTTGTAGTGTACCCCTCATCTGATCACCAGAAAGCATCACTGCTGCCTCCTCCATGCTCCCTGAGGCAAGCAGGAAGCTCACAGACTGCTCACATGCTCTGGACTCACCTGGTCTCGACAGAAGAAAGGACCAGGTTGAGAGCTGCAGACATGACACAGAGAGTCTTCTAGGTAGGGGTCAATCTGAACCTGCACAAAATTCAAACAGAAGAATGAGGAGGTGAATCTTCTCTCAGGGAGGCCAGAGGCTAGAAGGGATGGAGAAGCACAACTGGGTTACAAAGAAGAAAGCAGGATGCTTGCCTGTTTTATTTTATTTTTTAATCATTTTATTAGGGGCTCATACAACTCTTATCACAATCCATATATACATCAATGTGTAAAGGACATTTGTACATTCATTGCCTTCATCATTCTCGAAACATTTGCTCTCCACTTAAGCCCCTGGCATTAGGTCCTCATTTTCCCCCTCCCTCCCTGCTCTCCCCTCGTCCCTCATGAGCCCTTGATAATTTATAACTTATTATTTTGTCATATCTTGCCCTGTCCAATGTCTCCCTTCACCCACTTTTCTGTTGTCCGCCCCCCAGGGAGGAGGTCACATGTAGATCCTTGTAATCGGTTCCTCCTTTCCAACCCACCCTCACTCTACACTCCCAGTATTGCCACTCACACCACTGGTCCTGAAGGGATCATCCGCCCTGGATTCCCAGTTCCAATCTGTACCAATGTACATCCTCTGGTCTAGCCAGACTTGCAAGATAGAATTCGGATCATGATTGGCAGTGGGGGGAGGGGAAGCATTTAGGAACTAGAGAAAAGTTGTATTTTTCATCACTGCTACATCGCACCCTGACTGGCTTGTCTCCTCCCTAAGACCCCTCTGCAAGGGAATCTCCAGTGGCCTACAAATGGGCTTTGGGTCTCCACTCTGCCCTCCCCTCCTCATTCACTAAGGTAAGATTTTTATTGTTCTGATGAGTCTTATACCTGATCCCGTTGACACCTCGTGATTGCACAGGCTGGTGTGCTTCTTCCATGTGGGCTTTGTTGCTTCTCAGCTATATGACTGCTTGTTTACCTTCAAGTCTTTAAGACCCCAGACACTATACCTTTTGATAGCCGGGCACCATCGGCTTTCTTTGCCACAGTTGCTTATACACCCATTTGTCTTCTGCTATTGTATCATGGAGGTGAACACACGATGATTTGAATTTTTGTTCTTTGATGCCCGATAACTGATCCCTTCGGCACCTCGTGATCACACAGGCTGGTGTGTTCTTCCATGTGGGCTTTGTTGCTTCTGAGCTGGGTGGCCGCTTGTTTACCTTCAAGCTTTTCAGACCCCAGACGCTATCTCTTTTGATAGCTGGGCACCATCAGCTTTCTTCACCACATTTGCTTATTCACCCACTTTGTCTTCAGTAGTTGTGTCAGGAAGGTGAGCATCATAAAATGTCAATTTAATAGAAGAAAGTATTCTTGCATTGAGGGAGTATTTGAGTGGAGGCCAAATGTCCTTCTTCTACCTTAATAGCTTGCCTGTTTTAAAGGAGGTCTAGAGAATTATGGGACAAGGACACAGCAGGAATCAAACCGGGCCAAGCTGGACACTTCTGTGATATGAGCACCCACACTTTACTCTAGGTCCAATACCCCAGCTGCCTATCATTTAGCATGTGATTAAGGGCTGGAAAATGGGAAATCAAGCTACTTAGCAATGCTACGTAAATTCAGTCAGGGAAGCACCCACAAACTGTGGAGATTCGAGAGTCTTAGTTCCCATTGCTTCCTGAGCCTATCCAGACAAGGCCCAGTCTGAAGCATAGTCTCATTGAGTACCAGGAGCATAGGTCCAAACTCTAGTCTCTGATCCGTCCTGGGTCTTATTGGCCCAGGCCTCCCACATGCCCCTGGAATAGGGGCATGAACCACCCCACTCACCTTCTTGGTAAACTTGGTGGTTTTGATCTCCACAAAAGCTGCACTGACTGCCTTCAAGTAACTGCGTTGGTTGTTGAAAGTCACACGTCCAGATCCTAGGAGCCACAAAATACAAGTTACTTTCCTGTTAAATTTTCCAAAATGCTACCTGGAAACATATAGAAAACCTTTTTCTAAACTAGTGCAGCCACACAGAAATATGACGTGAACTACTTACTTTAAAATTTTCTAGTAGTCACATTATAGTAAAAAATAAACCCGTACAATTAATTTTAAGAATATGACTCCTATAGTGTAACTGGCATGAGGAAGGACCCAGGTGGTGTTGTGGGACAAGCTAATCACAAGATCAGCAGTTCAAAACCCACTAGGCTGATCTGTGAAAAATAAGGCTTTCTCTACTCCTGTAAAAGGTTTGTAGTCTTGAAAACCCTAGAGAGTTCTATTTTGCTCTGTGGGGTCACTGTGAGTCAGAAGTGACTTGGTGGCTGTGGGTTAGTGTAGGCAGATGCATAGTTAAGGTTAAAAGGGTTCCAAGCTTGGGAGTAGGAACCTAAATGCCAACCAAACACCTCTCTGCAAGAGTGGGCCCAGCAGTCAAGCCTGGTCTAGAGGTATGTGGAGATCTTGCTGGAGAGCCAGAAAAAGCTCCATCCTGCCAAGTGCCGCCTCCACCCCTGCAGCCTCTGAAGTCCTTGTTCTCAATCTGCGGTGCAGTACTGATGAGCACACAGAGCTCCTTCCTGGCCAGATTCCGTGTGAGCAGGCAGACTGAGCTTTGGGGAGGTGGGTTAGATCAGAAAGCTCAAGGCTCCGCTGCACCTTCAAATGCCATCACTGTGCCATGACTTGGGAAACCCATCTCCTCTCTCAGAGTCCATACAGGTACCCAGGTCAGAGTTTAAGGTCATGGACTCAACTAAAATGGGCCAGCAATAGCCATGACTATAACTGCTGTCACTGGAGCCACTCTGAGTCCTCCAGCAGTTTGACCTGATTTCTAAAACTAACACAAAGCAAACAAATCTTTTTGAGAGCCTTTAATGAAGGAAGTCCGGTAGGTTCCACAAAGTCCTGGCCTTTTAACGGATCACCTACTGTCTGTCCCAGAATGATTTTGTTGTAAACTTGGGGCTCCCAACCAAAGTTTCTGCCTATCTCATATCCTGTCATTTCATATAGTCTCATCACTTTAGGGGGCACACATGAGGTGGGCAGAGTGGGGTGCAGAGAGGCCACTGCTGGTGACTTATCTAGGGGAAAATGTTATGCTGCATGGTAATGCAGATCTGCAAACCTGGGTCCGGCCTCTCTCCCCACTCCCACGGGAAAGTAGCAATCCTGGTCCACATCCCAGGGGCCACGAAGCCTTCCAACACAGAAGTGGGACACTTACCAATGGGATACTTGTGCTTATCTGTGTCAATCCCAGCATACACCACTCCACCAAATAGGTCATTCAAGATGGCTGCCAGGGCCTCAGCATTGAGCATCCCGTGCAGAGCGCCGACAAACACTGTCCTGCTGGGGTCAAGTCTCTGAGATGGGCTCCGGACAAAGTTGCTGTCAGCCAAGACCCAGGGGATCACCTGCACCTGAAAACCACCAAAGATGCATCAGTCCTACCACAAATAAAGAGGTTCTTGTATGCCACGTTACTTGCTATGGAAATACTAAAGTTGGGTCTGCCAAGCCCTTACAGTGAATTAAGGGGTGACCACCTGTCCCTGACACACAGGCATCCCAAAGTCAACCTTTACTGCAACCCAGTTGTACAATAGTGAAAATAAGTGGTATAGGACAGCACTCACTCATGCTGGAGAGCAGGCCAAAAAATACCTAATGGTCATACCCACGACCCAAAAGAAACCCTCTGTCCTAACCTCCAACTGTGTTCTAAGAAAGGAGGCTTGGACAACAATGAACAGAGAACATGATCTGAAGTCCTTGAGTGGAAGGGTTCAAAGAAAAATGACAGGTATGAGCCTGACGGGCAAAGGGGGTGGGGGTGCTTGCGCTGCTTGTATGAGATCGTTACTAGTCTAACCCAGAAGCAGGGGGAAATCACTGGAGATGTAGGGTGGAAAAGTCGTGCATAGAAAACCACTGAAGCTTTGTGGAGCTGAGTACCACCACAGCAGGTCTTTTGCCTGAGCTCCTTGAGCCTATAAAAAAACCTGGGACAGCAGGCAGAAGACTGCACAACCAAGTAAGCTGACAGATGACCATTAAATGCTTGAAAGATTAACATGTGAAGATTTAAAAAATGTCTTCAAGTAGGAAGAGTTCTAAGAAATAAACCAGCAATCAGGAAAAAGCCATAGTTGGAGGAAAGCATATTAAGGTTTGGACAAACATGTCACTGGACACAGAACAATCCCAGGCCAAGGATATGATTCTACTGAAGAGCTTACAAAGTGACTGAGCATGGTGAGTAAACAAGGAAGAATCAGAACCAATGGGCTGCACGCTGGGTGACTGTGGGATGGGAAGGCCTGGCAGAAGTTACCAGGGGAGCCATTTTCACTGGAAGATAAAAAAACACACAGAAGAGTGGCCCTAAAGGTCATCCCAAAGGAGTTCCATAGGAAGTGGGGGCTGAGGTAAGCTAAGAGGCTAGAGAGGAAAGTGTGGGTCTCAAGATAAGAACAAAATTAAACCACATTGCCATCAGGTAATTCCAACTCCTAGCAACCCTACATGGGGTTTCTTAGACTAAATCTTTACAGGGGCGCATAGCTTCATCTTTCTCCCTTGGAGAGGCTGGTGGGTTTGAGCCACCAACTTTGTGGTTAGCAGTCCAACACTCAGAACACAGACATGAAAATAAATAATTTATCTGAAATGGGAAAGAACCGATCAAGTAGTCAAGTATTGACTACACTGTAGTGCAAGGAGTGAGGCACAGAGGAAGAAGAGAGTTAGAAGAAGCAATCCATCAAAGAAAAATTATACCACTACTAGGTGCTCAGGGGAAAATGGGAAAATGAAGGTATTGACAGGGACACTGAGAAAAGGAAAAGGGTCTAAAGAGGAAGTCCCTTGTGAAATCGGGACAGGAAGGAAGACCCTACTAACCAAGTCCCCCACCAGAATACACAGGTGAGTCCATGCAGGAAAGGAGAGAGAGTTGGGAAACTTTCCAAGGACACCCATAAAATGACCTTCATCTCCAAGACAGAATATGCTCTAACACCAGGAAACTCTACAAAACGAAAACCCAGCTTTAGTACATAGATTATTTTAAATCATAGGTGGCCATCTCCCAATAAAATAGGCATTTTAACTCCCCATTTCATAGATGATTACGTTTCAGAAATGTTAAAAATACTTTGTCCTATGTCACAGAAGTGACATCCTCTGGAATCAGATTTTAAAGAACCCAAGACTGAACCAAAAATGTCCTTCGGCAAGTGTTTTGCAAACATGCTCCATTAGGCCCACTTGTAGAGCTTGGTCAAAGTGGGTACTCCTGAGGTCCATCTGGCTGAGTCAGTCAGTCTGGGATAGGGCCCAGACGTCTTCAATGAGGCTCCCAGGTGAGAAAACTGTTAGGGACCCATGCTATCAAGGACAAATCAGGATGACAGCAAGAAAGGTGTGAGGAAAGATTATTTAATGGAGAAAACTTCATACTAGTAAAGCCTTGTGTGGGAGCAACAAAATGTAAATGGGTAGCAAAGGATTTATCTAACTCAGACTAGGAGGTCAGACAGCTCATCCTGAGGGCAGGGCTATGGAGAAATAGCTGTAGATTTTTTGTTCTTCTTATTTGAGATCATTTTACTGGGGGCTCTTAGAGCTTTATAACAATCCATATTATCAGTTGAATGAAGCATATCTGTACATATGTTGCCATCATCATTCTCTAAACATTTACTTTCTATTTGAGCCCTTGGTATCAGCTCCTCCTTTATCCCTCCTTCCCCCACCCTCATACCCTCCTGAACCCTTGATAAATTACAAATTATTATTATTCTCATGTCTTACACAGACCACTGTCTCCCTTCACCTATGTTTCTATTGTTCGTGCCCCTGGGAGTGGGTGGGTTATGCATCAATCATTTTGATCGGTTCCCTCTTCCTCCCTCCACCTTCCCCCTTCTCTTCCACCTTCCCCCCTATACTGCACCCTGGTTGACTCATCCCTTCCTTGTGACCCTTCTGTGAGGGAACATCCTTTTGTCTACAGATAGGTTTCTCTGCTAGATGGCCACTTGTTTAACTTCAAGCTTTTAAGACCCCAGACACTATATCTTTTAATAGCCAGGCACCATCAGCTTTCTTCACATTTGCTTATACACCCATTTTGTCTTCAGCAATCGTGTTGGGAGGGTGAGCATCACTGATTGCGAGGTTGTCAGAACAAAGTGTTCTTGCATTGAGGGAGGGCTTGAGCAGAGGCCCAAAGTCTGTCCACTTCTTCAAAGTACTACCATCTAAATATATATACGTAGGCCAATACCTCTATTTTTATGAATTAATATATTTACATATGTACATATCTATGTATAGATCTCTATCTACAGGAAATAGATGTAGAATATATCAGTTAAATTCAAATAGAGAAAATTGCTTTTAATTTTACCTATAAGCCAAGAGATTTGGGACAGACACACTAGCTAGAAAAAGATAAAATAAGGACTGTAAGATACTATGATTTCCATGGGCAGGAATGTACAGATATATGTGTCTGTGCATGAAATTGTCCAAAGGCTAATTTGGTTTTTTTGGTGTAATTAAGATGATTTTGTCTGTATTGTAGGGCAATGAGAACAGCCTTCTTGTCTTGGCAGGAATCACTAGGTAGGTGCAGACCATACCAGGTGACACTGCCAGAGGATTGACACCAAAAAAGGATTGACATCTATAGTTGTGCTGTGGTTCAGTAGTAATGCATTATTTTTAATAAATAATTCCTATAGCTAGTTATAACAACATAAGCCTAGCTTACATGTATCATTATACCTATAAGGCTAAAATCCTAATTTACTTTTTGAATCTTCTAAGACATGCCTGGTACAAGCACATGTTTTCATTGCTGCAGTATTTATATAGACATTGCCTTTGTCAAATCTGCTGGTGTCTTAACTACAATATAGTGGTAATTAGGATTGGGTAAACCTCTATCAATAACTTTTTTGACAATGTAGTAAGAAAAGGGGCAGAAAAATTTAAAAGCAAATTATAACTGTTGCACAGTATTCTATGATTAAAATCTGTAACAGTCATTACTAAAGGTTCTGTGTGGTCTGATACAGAAATTCATGGGGGAGGGGGGGAGCATGACACCAGCCCTAGAAACAACACTGGCAAGAATCTGTGGCCTGCACATCCACCCAGCCCAAGGAGTGCAGTGTCTCATGTCGGTTACTTTGTGTAGAAAGGAAAAGCACTCTCACCTCCTTGCAGCGCATCCTTCGGCTAGACATCTTGAAATAATATTCACTCAGGCCATCTGGGCTCAGTGGGTCATGAGAGCAAGCCTGAAGCAAGGCTCGGACAGACTTCTCTAGTTCAAAGACCAGATACACATACCCTATTCCCAATGAAAGGAGAAATCACATTAATATCACTGCCTCATGGTTATGCTTCAGTCTTGACTTTGATGAAGCAGTTTCCACTAAAGAGGTCTTATGAGTCAGGTTCATTTTGACCCAATTTCTGACAAGTCTTTATTGGGAGGCACTTTCTTTCTATATCAGATGCCTGGGCCAGAGGAGGGAGAGGCACACCATTCCCCCACCCTAATAGGAGGGGGACTGGCAAGCTGTGACAGAGGATGCGACCAGTGTCACACAACTCTCTATTCCAGAACACTGGCCATGTTCAGGCCAGCAGAGCCAGGAAAGACAGCACTTGTGGGTCTGGTCTACCAGAGGATGGAGGTATTACTTTAAAAGCCCAGTTAAAGCACTGGTTCAGTTCATGGCAACATTTTCAGTGAAGTTGGGACAGAGTGAAAATAGCACCTACATTCCTTTCTACAGGGAGGGGTTCTCATTTGAGACCAGTGAGAAATCAGATGCTTGGTTCTCATTTCTGCCAACTCCAAAGGGATCTCAGAATTAGGTCAGACAACAACTTAACTAGGCAGAGAAGGCAGATGAGGGAAAGCTTTCCAAATGGCTCATTTTAAGAGGAAAGGAGCTGCCAGGGGGTTCAGGTTTACAGTGAAGGGCCCAGAGTAGAGGGATTTAGTGGTAGCTCCCACTGCAATATAAGTTTGGACAGGTGAAGCATTAGTCAGAAAAAAGAGAGGGGTGTGCTAGGTTGAAAAGAAAGAGCAGCCAGCCCATACCATGTTACCAACATGCAGCTGTGACATCCCAGCAACCACTCAGTGCAATTATGTAGGAGGGAAGGGGAAAAAAAAGTTCCTACCATGTCTTTATTACCTTTAGGCATATTACCTTTGGGAGGACACCGGGGGTGCTTGCCATCCTTACCAGGCCACTCGACACTCAAAGAGCCAAAAACACGGAAGGTGTTAACCAATCCAGCT